TATTGTCAGGTCAGAATTAAATAAGCGCAAGAAAACCTCGGCGGATTTATGATAAAGGACATGTTCATTTTTTATATTCAAAGAAACAAGTGTAAAGAAAAATTTACTGTTGCATAATTTAGATCGAACAAAATATAGTTGTTGACGCGTGGCGTTTATTTATCTACCTATGCTTTGCGCAGAGTCGAACATTTTACAAATTCCAATTCGATTAATGATATTCTTAGCCTAATTGTTAGATCACAAATTCTTGAAAGCATGTGTCTATTTTTTTGGTGTTTTTTTTACGAGCGATACGCAGCAGAAATTCCTCAGATTTTTTTCAAGAAATAGCATATTCATCTCTATTTTTTTTGTTACTACAATATGAATATAATGATACTGTAGTTCAATATTAAATATTTTATTACAATACACAAATATACAAATTTTTAAATAGTTATGAAGAACTAAATATAATAAAAATCAATATAAAATAATTTGCACGTAATAATATAATATGTTTATATTTTATTTTGAAAAGAGAAAAAAAACGTATATTTTTATGCATTTAGGCCATTTATTTTTGTGTAGCATAATGATTTCGAATCGTTACCAGGTGTGATCACAATTCGTGATCGATGAAACTTGAGCGTACTACAAAGAGATTTTCGTATTATATTTTTCTGACGGTACAGAAGTTGTTGTACCAATACATGTTTTATGCTTTTACTCTTTAACTGGAGCGGGTAACGTTGAATTAAACATCGGAAGAGGGAGGATACTTATGGCGAACTACAAAACAATAATTATAATGCACTGTTCCGCATATGCTTTCATGATTACTCGAATTATATTTGGTTGAATAGTTATTCGACGCTGCTTTCTCTCAATGTTATATTGAGATCGATGATTCTCTTCAAAGCAAACATGCAAACCTTTACACATTTTAATATTTTTATTAAATGTAATATTTTTATTAAATGTAATTATACTCCTCGTAATATAAAATAACCGAAAATAAATAAACGGAATTCATAAAATAAAAACTAATGTAATAGCATAATATAATTTTCATTAATTTTTAAAAAATATAACTATGTCGATATACAACATATGAAAAAAACGTATGAATATTTTTTGTATACTATAAATAATTGGTTAATTATAAGTAAAATATATTGAAATTAATGCACAATAAAAATATAACGTAAGTTTTAGGATACTGTAATAATCTAAGAGGCTTATAGAGACTATGGTCACCCTTCTTTCAATCTTCTTTTAATATTGTTATGTGAGCATATGACCCATCGATTGCAACAGTTCTCGCTTTTTATTCCACACAAGAATCATCTGACAGCTGTAAACTTTCGTGCTAAATGCGGACCATATCGGCAAGGTTTTCGACAGGTTGACATTACTCCCCAGGCAATAAGAACGACAGATGCAAGAGTGTTTTATGTCCTATTGTGCTAACACGCTTTGTGGTAATATTTGTTTCGTCATGAATGCCGAACATTTTCCGAACCGTTAGATTAGTATTTGTTGCGGTTATCTCGAATATATACTTAATAAAAATTTACTCAAACTGAGCAGACAATGATCTACTTCAAACTAAAAGTGTTATTTACTTTTAAACCAAAATTGAAATTGAAAATACGAAGTATTAAAGTATAAAAAATATTTCAATTATAATAATTTTATAAAGTTATTTATATTAATATTTGCAAATATTTATTGTTTTTCATCTATATCAAATATTTCATTTTCTGAATCATATATACTGCATATTTTTCGACATGTTTTTAGTTTTTTTTTAAATGTTGTTTAACTATCACATGTTTTAAAATTTTTCTTCTTTTTCTTTGAAAAAGAAGAAAAATTGAGATCGCACTAGTAGTATTTGAAATATCATTCTTTTTTATCTTTTATTCTATGATTTTTTATTCTCTCTTTTACTATATTTTTTACTATATTTTTTAGTGTACATCGTGTTTCAAAAAAAAATATAACAATAGAATTTTACGAAATAACTGATATGGATTTCTACGTATTGTAATACATCTCTGTTATATTGAAGCTCTTTTTATGACGTGATGCCACGTAAATCGACCACAAAAGTCAAACATTCGTATGCAGTTTTGCGGTTCCTTCGCTTCAGAGTGCACGTAGGAAGTCCGTAAAGGTGTATGACTGAAAAACAACACCCCGTGTGCGTAGCGCATAAATAACGCGTCGCAGCTCAAGGATCGAGAATCGAGTAACCACTGAGGGTGCGTCCTCATCTTCTTCCTGCGTTCCGACCGCTTCTACCGATCATAAATCACTCTTTATATACGTTTCAACGCGAGATCGTGCTCTCGTAAAATCACTCTTTCCTCCACGTGGTTATCCCCGACAAAAAAATGTGACCGCGAGTGTGGTTGCAGCGCTAGACTTCTCACGATCCTCATTGATATCCTCCCGTCTCAGCCTGTGGTAAGATTTTGTTACAAAAGATAACCGTGAATACTAAACGACTTAATAAAATTTTAACCATTGTTTGCGATTTGCAAAATATTTTTAATTTATAAAAATTGAAACTGTATATTCATTGCAATCACATTCATGTAAAACGTCATTTATCTTTAATGTGCTTTAAAATTTTGATTATTATCATTTAATATATTGAGATTTTCATAATAAATATAAAATATTAAATGTCTGTTTTGGTCTAGAAATTTTCTCGTTATCATGAATATACAATATCAAATTATCTAATGTGGTTCATATAATATGGCTCACATGTATCAAAGGACGCGATTACGTTTCATGAAATCCATTTCCAGATCACATTACTCAGTTACGTGCGCGAACTACGTCGTATACATAATACAACAAGATCTGTAATAAGATCATTTCGAGCAAAATCACCAAAGAGATCTTGGAATTCGACCTTCTCACAAATGATTCACGTGCATATTTCTCGCGCGCACATGCATCTATGTGGCAATAAGGATCACGGCTGATCAATAAAATGATCAATAAAAATCGTGGCTGAAAATTGAGAAGCACATGAAATGAAGTATAGATCGGATCAATCGATCATGCTCAGAGCTATCGACCTCGATCTGATTCGGTTCGATCTTTTCTCACACTTTATAGTTTCTCCATGCGTATCTTCCTGTTGATCAAAATAACCTTCAGGAACTCCAGCGAAATGAATGATTTCCGAGAACGGAATATAATGCCATAAAACATTCAGAGATGTATTCAGAGATGTGGATTACGAGTGGGAAACTGTGTCTTTAATGGACTTTAATAAGTTTGTCTAATAAATGTAATTTTGCATGTAATTAATACGAGCGATTGAAACTAAAAGAATTATAAATTCGTTTCATCCATTTCCTGAATTTTATTTTTCTAGCTCACAAGAAATTGACGATTTTCCCACCGAGAGAGTTTTTTTAATAATTACACGATGTTTCTGGCTTTAACTACGAGCATTACCGACGCGGTAATTCCACGTCATAAACAACTTTATGAAAACGCAGCGAATTAATGTTTGCGACTGAAATTATAACTTACGCGACTACTCGCCTCTTGACGAGGCGCCACGAATAAAATATGAGAGACCATTTACATGACCCCCCTCAACCTAACGACTGCGTTTTATGATGAACGCAGGTTTCGCGTTTCCTGCGTCGGTTGAAAAGGACCGCGTGATCCCTCTTCTCCGTACGATATTTTCCGTGATGAAGCCACGACTTCATTAAAATATCCTCCGTCGTAAAAGATCCGTCGGGTGCAGGAGGTAAAATCTCGCGACGATTAAGGCAAGCGCGATCCACGTCGACGGGAGAGATGGAAATAGAGAGAGAGAGCTCGCGTGGCGACGAACGCAGACGAGACTTAGTCGAGAGAGGTACGACCTTTACTGCCGCGGAATGCAACGTCTCGGGACACTTGGGCCAGTGGCTTCGTGGTTACAGCGATTTCACATGCGGCCGGTACCAGTTTTCATCGCGAATACCTGCATTTCTGCGGCTAATCGCGCGGCGCGCGCTCGAAAAGGCAGGAAGAGGAGAAGTGAAAGTGATCGGGCGCGGGAGGGAAAGTAATAAAAGTACTCTTGAACTTTGCGAATAACGCGATTGGTGTCGAAACCCTCCGACCGAGGCGAATGGCGTACTTAAGCGCGCCATTGCGTATACAAAGCGATTCACAAAGAAACGATGCACGTGTCTCTTCGTGTGTATGACGTGAATGAAGCACGCCTTCGATAAATATTATCGTATCGCAACAGCTTATGCGGTTATATCACATATAATTGCCACTTTTTATATCCTGATGCTTTTTGATTGACAAAGACAGTTTTTCATGTCTTTGTATTTCATGCAATTAAGTAATTAAATATTATAAGAAAATAATATTATAAATATTAAATATTATAAGAAAAAAATGTTGTCAACGAAAGAATGGCTTTTATATTGTATAATATTTCTAACGAGAAAACTTACACGGGTGCATTATAAGCTATTATAAAATGACGAGATTGTATGCAATGATGTACTTTCTCTGTCTTTAAATGTCAGACTTAGATATGCCGTGTTATTATATTTTATTGCATAAATATATACGTCATGCAATCGACAGCGAAATAATGATCTGCTATTATGTGAAATACTTTGTATACCAAATCGTTACGTATATTTGTTTTTCTAATTAATTAATATTACTTTATTAATCATTTTTACCCACAAATTGTTGTAAATTAATACGTATGTTTACCTGTGATTACTTTGTTTTTTATCAATGGAAAAGTATCTCTGTGTATATTAACTTTCCTCTTCTCGATGTATTTTCTATGATAATTTTCCTTATACAATTGAGAGATTTTTAATGTTATGCGTCATTAATTGCAACGTAAATGGAGGGGAGATAAATTTAATGTCTCAATGGAAGGTCAACGAACATTGCCCCTGTGATTATTCTGTTTGCGATCACGATTTTTGCTATTTTTTCTTTTTTTTTTTTTTAGTAAAGATAAGTAAGGCTTCGCTATAGCACAAGCATTTATTACAATAATTTTAACGCAAAGTCCCGTCTGATCTTTTAGTCAGGCGAATATATCTGCGGTCGTGAAAATAATCGCGTTGGCGAATTAATTAGCATGTCAGAGATGCAATTAAATCTTTATATACTATCACTAGTCTTCTTGTCACTTCATGAATATTCAATGATCTTTTGACTCCATTCTCCTCAGGTCCGTTTATTTAACTTATCTGCCGCGATCATAAATCGAGTCAAATGGGACAAAGCGCAGTGTCCGTGGATCCTCGCGAATAAGATGATGCATCTCAAGACCGCATGTGCGCCATAACGTCCCGCGTAACTCTACCTTTTATGTAGCATGCAAGTAGGATTGCAGTAGGAGAAAGTATCGTGACGGGTGATTTGTTGCCGCTGGAACTGGCGTTGGAGCCATCCTTGAATACAAAGAACGAAATCTATCTGGCTATCCTTGTTGAAAATGAGAAGTTGTTGCATCGTCACCATCCGAAATTTGCATCCGGAATTGAATCGCGCGGGAAAGGAAGCCGGAAGCATAACTTTCGAAAATGCATTTCGAGTTCTAGGCATACATTTTCCATCACGAAGAACCTCGTGATTTATCGCAATGAAAGTTTCAGTCATAAATATTCAATGACGTGCGCGTATGAACGAGTTACACCTGTAATTTACAAAATTATTACAATGATTTCGGGAATCTACGGTTTCTCATTCTGAGGATCGAAGAAGAGTTTCGCATATTTGCAAGAACATGATTCTTCAATAAAATCGTCTTTATTTTTTTGCAACATGTACTGCATCTATATTTGTATCTATAATCGAAAGCTTTTATAATAGTGTTTATTTCATAATAAATTACGTTTTCTACATCATTAAATTATTTTTTTCTTTTTTTCTATAATTATATTACGGAATTTGGAGCGTCTCTTTTATATGTCATATGCAACACTTAAAAATTCTATCGCGAATATGCGAACAAAGGTATTATTATCGCTTACTATGTTGTTTTGCTAAAAACGTCAGATTTGATGAGTTGTTCGTTTTTTTTGTACGACATTCCGTGTTGTCAGCAACCTGTTGTAACGATGAGCAATCAGTGTACGATGATCTGTTTAGCCGCATCAACGGAAAAGTTTCCTACCAATTATTTACGATCTTGAAAAGAGCCGGTTAAACTGGGAAAACCGTTCGACAGTTGACTGATCGTCAGTTAATGTCCGTGTTTTCTAATGGCATCGTCTTGTCGTTCGTTAAACACTCAGGAAAATGTTGTAAGTACCGGTTGAACAACCAGTATAAACTACGAGTCGAGAAATATGCTTGACATAAAAGCCCGTCCATAGCTAATGATAACGTATGAATACCTTAACGGTTAATTATCGTTGTTTAATGGAGCACGTAAAGACTAATAGAGGAGGAAGATAAAGAATCGCTTTGGAAGTCCATCGCAATGTACGATAACAATTGAATAATATCGCAACCACGTGTCTTACGTCATTTTTATTTCTTACTGCATAGTATTAATAGAATCTAACAGTGGATGGCAGAAGGAGAGATCAATTTAAATCGACGCAGTCGATTTGCTGATGGCACGCCGGCGTCGCAAATGGAACATCGCATATGTTATCAAAAGAAATTGCTCTAACTCGTGCAGTTATGCATTTTGCAAGCTACATTATATTGTTCAATCAAACGTTTCAAGCATTTAAAGGATGCCTTTACTAACTTCCCCTCGGATAAATCATTTAATTAAATTTGATTTCGAAATTTAAATACGCTCGAAATTATTAATATACATATTTGTCATACGCATGTGTAAGTGATCATACTGTTGGCCAAACATTTGTAACTGGTCGATTGCAAACAGGTCGAGTTTGCAGCAGGAATAAATAACTCACGGCGCGCTTGAATCACAAGGTGAAATTCAACTTGTTAGCATACCATCGCCGCACAAAGCCCGACACATATGGCCGATTATATCGGACCTCATAAGACTATCGTGATCAAACAAAATGTGAGTCATTGTACTCGTATAGCTCCGTCCATAATGCTCATCTATAATTAATTACGCTGCGGGATACTAAGCGCTTGACTTGCATTTTTGCCGCTCGCCTACTCTCCGCGGCCTCTGCTCCCGTTTTCTTCCATCCGTTTCTTTTCTTTTTTGCATATCTCTCTGCATCTATTCGCGTTCGCGTTACGCCGAAATACACAATCGCAGACGATAGTAGAAAATCGCGCACATTAATAGTATAATTATTTCCAGTCGTCGATCGTGAAGACACAAATCGCGATCTTCGCGCTTGCGAAAGATCGCGGATATCCTGATCGGAGAGGCGTTGTTAATTAAGCACTTTCATGAGTCTCTTATCTCGAAGTGATATGTCGAATCCTTCCAGACACTGAGAGTAACTTTTGTTTTGTAGAGTAGGACTTGGCGGACATGGATACGTAGATAGTGCGCTGCCGTAATTAGAAAGTATAATCGGTGCCGTATGTTCAGCATTGCCAAGGGTCTTTGTCCGTGTACTTACGAACTTCCTTGATATTAATTGACAATCTATTATGATAATCAACGATACGTGTCAATTAATGGACGCGCGGCCGTTCGCAAGCAAGGCACGAATACCACATATTCGCGAGAGGTTGGTCACGTTTTAGCTAATTTAGTTTCACGCTCCAACAATTATCTGGCTCCGAGAGACGCCTTTCTACATTCCGCCGTAATAATCACGAGAATAACGCAGCTGCGTTATTCGTATCTACTAATTTCATATTACAATAATTACTGCGGATATGTAAAATAAAATTTCGAGCATAACTTATATTTAATAATCGATGATCTCGATGCATATCAAATTGGATGTTCATAATTTTAAATTGTCCGTTTTTTTGTCATTCGTAATACGGAGATTCATGTCATTTAAACGAAATTATCGTAATTTATCACGCTTGATCACATTTAGTTACATCCAATATGCAATTACGTGAAAAATTATACAGTTTAAATAACCATGTCAGAAGACTTGTTTTTATAATATATATAACATGTACACCATGTTTCTACTATTTCACGGTACTATTTACTCAGTGATACTTTAAATGTAAGTATAGCGAAACAATTATTTTTACGATGATCTAGGATTTGCGCTGGTCTAGATGTGCGCGTCATAATGAGGGCGCAACAATAAATTAACAAGTCGTTGGCAGACTTTCATAAAAATGCGGGTTGATTTTCTCGTATCGGTAAACAATTAATGAGCTACGCAAAGTACTTGGAAAACGGAAATAGGAAATACGATATATGTATATGTGGACTTTTAAAGTATCGCGAGATAATGGCTGTTGGGTACATGAAATTTAATAACCACCCCTATGCACGCGCATCTACAATACGTGAATGGGTCGCACGCCTACTGGGAAAGGATTATATCCTACATCGAGACGGTCCCTCTGATTAAACGATTCGAGGAGAAAGAGAAAAAAGTGGGAGAGATATATCACGACCCTTGAAGCAATATTTCACGTGCTCTACAAACCGCTTATAATCATGAAGATGGACCGAGCGCAAATCGATCTGTTTCGATAGAAGATTCAATATCCTGATTGGAAAGTGCGCGAAACACAGAGTACAGAGATCAAAAGACATCGTAGACACGAGCGTGAATGTTGATTTACGATTTTAATCGGCGATTACTTTGTGGAATCCGGTTTGCAACGGTGCTCGTAATTATATTACATTGACGTGTCTCGAGAAAATTGTGTACTGATTTGTGTACTGATGATTTCAGTACTAAGGATGAATTTGATAAAACTTAAAAAACTTTTTCCAAGAAAATGATTTTTAAAATATACTATATCTGATAAAATATACTATACCTGATTATTGCACGAAAAATAATATAATAATATTAGAAAAACCACAATGATATAAATAATATAAAAAGTAACAAATATGTAAATAGTATATCACACAAAAAATAATATAATGAAATTGAAAAAGTCTTAATAATATGAATAATGGAAATTATGTAATATAAATGATGTTAGAGAAATTCATGTGTTTGCATTACAAATGAAAATAAGAAAACGAGTTACATCACGTTATGCACAACACTTTGAAAGCTAAAATACATTTCTCTGTAAGGTAATGCGATAAATTAACTGAATGATATCTGTCATTCTGCGAAGCGAACTGACGCGAGATTATGTATGTAATGCTAGCGTGCTATTCAGTATTTAAGAGTGCTACCAGCGTGAAAAATGTTGCACGTGCGCATAATTCTCTCACGAGTCTCATGCATCAATATGAGGCGGAGAGAAAATGCTTCCGATAATTCGAGATTCTTAGGGGAGTCAGCCACGTGCATGCGTACGTGAGCGAACGCCATCAGGGTGAACGAAGATCATTTCACGTAGCGCGTGTGTTGCGTGTGTTCAATGATCGATCGTAAAAAAGGCACACAGTCGTATCACGTAATTGTATACCCAAGGACGCAATTTGATGTGTAAATTTATGAGATGTATTATATTACATATACAAAATTTACCGCCGAATTAACAAGTAATGTCGGATTCTTTAAGAAACTAATATATGATTATTTTTGAAGATTAATTATGTGTATTCGTCGCAGTAAATCTAGCCTTAATGAGCAAATTTTCTTTATGCCAAAAACACGAAAGAATTTCTTGAGAAATTAACGAAATAAGAAACATTTTAATTTTTTAGCTAAATCTTAAATTAATGAATCTTATTAATATATGAATATCATTGTTAAATGAAACATTTAGAAATTCTAACAAAGTGATTTGTTTCAATCATATTTGCAGTTTGCTATTTGTAGTGAGAAGCGTTGCGTAATAGAGTGCAGTAAATACGGTAGTAAAACGTAATAAAACTTTTAATGGCTCATGCGACTCTATCTCCAGGTCATCCATATTCGAACCCCGTGCGTTTCTTCTCTTTGCTCACGACATCAGTATGGCAACGCATCTAAAGCGCTTACGTGCCGCACACTTTCTACTTACGATATTAAAGTGTCTCACGGCGCTGCGGGAGACGTGATATTTTATCGTGGTTGCAACGTGACGCGTATCATGTGCCGACTGACGTTACGTGCAAAATGCTTTCTTCCTTCTGACAGAAGTCTCCCCGAGCGTGCCCCGAACGTCCGCAATCTCCGTCCCGCGCGTCTTCGATCGCATATTAATGCGTTATTATGTATACCTAATAAGTAAACCGCCTGAAGAAACTTTGAGTTGCGGTCAACTTATCACGGGCGCGTTATATCGTCGTCGATATTGCGCGTAACCGTGGAACGTGGAACGCGTAACGCGTACGATTCCTCTTATCCGCGACGGCGATATTCCCGATTGCATATTGCAATCTCGAGCGATCGTGGGACGAGATACGAGAGCGTCTTTCGTCACGGACACTCGATCGAAGATCCGAGTCCGTGCTCCAGGATGCAGCCGAGCCGTATCTAAGTGGATTTCACGCTTCGCACGAATGCGAGAGTACGTGTATCATCGCGGGTACGGGATGCGATACGCCGGCGGGACAAGCGGGATTTTCTGTGTAAACGCGTGTGTTATTCATCCGAAGCGAGTTGACGGTGTTGTACGGTGGCGGCTGTACCGGACCCCATGGCTTATCGCGACATTATTTACCCCCATATGTCGATTTATGGCCCCTCCATTAGGGACGGGTCCGCCAGGCACCGCGGGAGATCTGCAACTGCAACGATGCCAAGCGGGGCCGGGATATCGTCTCATCGGGAGACGGGAGAATCTTGTCCTTTATCATGCCCTTCGTTATGAGTTGGTAGATGAAATATTCGTCTGACTTCCGTTCATTCGGTCTCGCATTCATCGCGAAGTTCTAAATGAAATTCTAGATGAAGTTCCAAATGGAATTCTCTCCAGAGCTAATGAGCAACACGCGGGAAAATACGACGACGACGCATCGGATCTCGCCGGTTTAATATTTCGCGCTCGGATTACAATCGGAACGCTTGCACGGAATGTATTTGTCATTTTGATTTGTGTTCCTCTTTGTGTTACAGATACACCTGGATAAGGGAAGCGACCTTGCCGAGGCGGCGAGCGCGAGCGGACTTCGTGAGCTCGCGAGATCCTTGAAGCAGCATTTGCGAGGATTCGGCTCCCGCTTGGAGGACAGACGGGAATATCTGGAGGACACGTCGAGATGTTGTCTCCTGCAGGATCGCGCCTACGAGTGGGCGCAGGAGGCTCGCCTGGCGAGCGAGAGAAGATCCCAGCAATTCTTGATGGCGAGGCCGCCTCTACCGCCCGAACATTTTACCGAGATGATGACCTTAGCGGAGAAGCTCGGTAACGAAGTCCTTCTGGAACAATGTCGTATCGCTCGAAACAAGTGCGCGGAAGCCCTCGAAATCGCCAGGACCACGTCCGCTCCGGGAAGTCCCGGAAGAAGAAGATCCTTCGCTGCTTCCGAATCGACTTCCTGGGATGATACCTTGGCCAAAAGTAAGCTTTCTTCTTCTTCTTCTTCTCTTTTTTATGATCTTATCGTAAGAACAATATCCACAAATTGGGATTACACACGTTCGACAGGAACGTCCTGGGATGATAGTGACAGCAGTGCATCTTATGCTTGTCCGATGGAAAGTGTCGGATCAGCTGGTAGCGGTGGTCGACCGGTCTTGGATAATATTGCTGAACTTCGAGAGAGTGCCGAGCAACTTCTGGACTGCTCACCCCCGCGTACACCTCCACGAAGTCCAGCACCACGAAGGCTGGTTAAACCGCCAGTGAATTCGCATCTTCATAGATCAGCTAGCATCGCGCCAGGAATGAAGGCAAAAAAGTACGACGACACGCTTGTACATTTTTAATATCCATTTTTTTGTCAGTTCTCGAAAGGTCGAATCGTAATGAAAATTTTTAAGAGAGTAAAAAATTGATCAAAATCATAAAAAATCAAGCAATATTTTATATTGTAAATAGAACGATGAAGTCATTAATGTTCTAGGCGTGACATTTTATTGCTATGTCATGGTTATTTTAATAGCGACTCATTGTTTCACCCGTAATTTCCGTTATGACATCGTACCGATTGTTATACCGATCGTAATGTCGTTAACGAAGAATTTCACCTTGCAGAACAATACTGCTCATAATGAGGGAGATGATACAGACTGAACGAGACTACGTAAAGTCCCTCGAGTACATAATAGAGGTAATTATTACGTATACATTAAAGTTTATTCTCTATAATTTTATTATATTTACCGCTGAGTGTAATATGTGTAAACTTTCTTAGAATTATATCCCGGAACTCGTGCGGGAAGACATTCCGCAGGCTCTTAGAGGACAGAGAAACGTCATTTTCGGAAATGTTGAGAAGATATATGAATTTCATAGTCAACACTTTCTACGCGAACTGGAACAGTGCGAACAATCGCCTATGTTAGTGGGACAATGCTTCCTCCGACATGTAAGTATAATTAAATCAGAGTTCTTGATAATTTATTCAAGACATAAAAGAAATAAGTTGTCCCGTGAAAATAATTTCTTACAGGAGAAGAAATTTTATCTTTACGCCTTGTACAATAAGAATAAACCAAATTCGGATTCGTTGATGGCGGAATACGGCACGAACTTCTTCAAACAGAAACAATTAGAGTTGGGGGATAAAATGGACTTAGCTAGTTATTTGCTAAAGCCGGTTCAGCGAATGGGAAAATATGCTTTGCTACTTCAGCAGCTGGTCAAAGCCGGCACGGATTTATCCGAACAGTTGTCTGGTAAAGAGGAGAAAGATGAAAAGGAAGATAGTATGAAACCTATGGTAGAAGGCGAAGCTGATTTGAGGGCTGCCGAGCAGATGGTGCGATTTCAGCTTCGACATGGTAATGATCTTTTGGCGATGGATTCGCTTCGCGATTGTGATGTAAGTTTCGTTCTAATGTGTGTTATGCTTATGATATAATAAAAAAATTAATAACGTTTATTTCAATAAAAGTAGAGATTATACATATCAGTAATAATTATGGAATTATATATAAATACATATTCTATAACATAAAAGATGTAACATTATTTTGTAGGTAAATGTAAAAGAACAAGGCAGGCTATTACGGCAAAACGAGTTTTTGGTCTGGCAAGGAAAAGGCAAAAAATGTTTACGTCAAGTCTTCCTGTTTGAAGATCTTATACTTTTCAGTAAGGCAAGAAGATTCCCTGATAGAAAGGTAAGATTTTCTGTAGTTGATCCGCACATGTTATGTATGTTTTAATGTTTCTTCTTGTTTCTATTTTATTATATTTTTATCGTTATTTATATATATGCCTTTTTTCAGAACCTTGATATTTATATCTATAAACATAGCATTAAAACGACAGATATCGGCTTGACTGCTGTTATCGCAGACTCGCCTACAAAATTCGAGATCTGGTTTCGCAAGAGAAAACCAGGCGATACATATACATTGCAATGCGCGAGTGAAGATATCAAGAAAGCCTGGACTGAAGAACTTAGCAACCTCCTGTGGAAGCAGGCGCTTCGAAACAGAGGTGATTTGTCACTTTCGCTTTATTTATTTAAAAGTATTTATTTATCGAAAACACGAATTACTATCGATAATGTTTGACTTTCTAGAAGTGCGCCTGGCGGAGATGTCGAGCATGGGCATTGGGAATAAACCGTGTTTAGATATAAGGCCTAGTGCGGATCAAATTAACGATCGCTCTATCAGTGTGGCTCAACTCTCTAAGAGTAAGTACAGTTGATGAATTTTTAAGAATAATTAATTTGTTTATAATGTTAATCTCGAATATGAGATGAAAATATAAATTTTCTCTATAGCACCCAGATTTAGAAACTCTATAGCGGTGTCAATGACGGAGGATTCCAGCCGCTGCAGCAGAAGACCGCATAGCGTAATTTCCGTTAGTTCGTCCTCGAGCAGCGGTGGAAGCAGCGGTCCTCCCACAACGCTTAATCTTGGATTAGACACAAGTCCACGACCACATCATCGTAGTACTACATTGAACAGCCAGTGCAGCGTTGGTGAGTATTATGCTTTATAGTATCAGTGATCTTTTAAAGAAATTTGACATCATTACGATATTAATATTCTTACAACAGAAAGTGGCATTATCGCCGATATCTCAATTGTATCGGATGATGGAGGTGATGGCACTGAGAGAAGTCATTGGAATTCAACTTTAGAGAGTCCTACGTCGCATCTACCTACAACTTCTACCCCTCTGCAGTCGCCCACCAGTGCGACAGCAGCAACGGTTACTCCTGCTTCCTCGACGGATACGAATCTCACATCTTTTGACCAAGACATGTCCATTAATCTATAAATTTTTCTTAAACGCCAGGAAAAAGCAAGTCTATCATTGATTCACTTGCAAATTTGTGTTACAATTGCAAAAAACATGTAACACATTGTCGTGGCATATTTAGTTAGATTAATAAGTCGGTAATATCGTCACAAGCGTACTGTAGCACTAGAGTACATTACATTTTTGAGCAATTATAGTTTAATGATGTAATGAGGAAAATAGAAAACCGCATGCAATTAGCGGTAGATCCAGCCACATTACGCTTAACACGTATGCCCAGCTACAAACTTGTAAACGCATTATATAAACATAGATTCTCTTATCCTGAAGGATGAGGTATCGAATTTTAACATTTAACTTCCAAGTGAATCCGTCTGTGAATCTATCTTTTGATACGCTTCGAAATATCTACAGATTTATGAAATCATAAAGTTATTAAGCTGTTACTTATTATGAAGCTCATCGATAACTAGTTTCTGAGTAATGGCAATGTGTATTTTTTTATTCCGTCTTATTAATTTTAACAACGTGCTCAAGATGACGTAAATATGCTCTTATAAATGTACCTCACGTGTCGAGGTATGCTACAGTACCATAAACGATATGCACTTATCGCCATCCTCATTTATTGGCATTCCTGATTACAGCAGCGGAAAATTTCATGAAATTTCCGATGACACGACGGAAGAAGAAAGAAGAGAGTTTTATACATTTATTTATATTATAATAGTTAATAATTAGTAATATTTCAATTCCACATTGTGTTCGCGCTTATTGTACTATATTGAGGAAGATATGATCATCTTAAAGGCGCAAAAAATTCAGAAATTGAAGAAATATATTTTCCTTAATTATCATCCATTTTATCGATACTATTTCGATAAGTTGATTATGGATTATATATTCAGGAATGTCAAATCAATGCGCACACATACATACCAATTGTAATATAATGTAATATCAAAGGTTTATACAATGTAACCACAAATAATATAACCGATAGTCTATATATTATTTCTAGATTATATATCAAATATATATATTATATATACATAATATTATATTCTTTTTATGTCAGTCATTTGTAAAACCTTTTATCACCTGTTGTAGTTGTAAATTTAACTCTGGCCTGTACTCAAAAGCCAAATTTCATTTCTTATAAAATATTACGTTTAAGAAATAAAATTGTTTCGATACACGTGTGGATAAATGTTTTGGAACAGCTTAAGATCGACTAGAATGGTAAGCTTGCCTTAAGACAATCCACACTTCGTATTCCAATATTTTCTTTCAGAAATTAATTCAACTATGCAGAATCGCTCGTATATTCTTGTTTAACGGCTACTTGAAAATATTCCTTGTAAGTATAATAGTGTGTTAGTGTTATAAACAGTTGTATAACTTGCAATTAAATAATTTTAAAAAATATTTGATGAACGAAAAAATTAAAATCAATTTTGAGGATTTAGATAATAGTCAGTTTATTCAAATAAACGTAATTGAAATAGTAGCTGTTTGTCAATATGTGATTCTGCATTGTTACACATTTGCTTCCAAATAAGTTGGTTAATCAGCCATCTTTATTGCCAAGGTCTGTCGAGGTATTGTAAGTGTACCTTATAGATAGTGACCAAACTGTTTATTTTATATCTTTTGCGTAAGGATGAAAGTTGCAAGTATTTAGAAGTGTATATGTAGATCATAGAGTATTACAAAGAATTTTGGCACAGTCCGATGCACCCTATTTTATTACGAATTATATTTAATCGCAATTTATAATTATTTTCAATCAAAAGTAATTAATTGCGTTTACCTGAATTTAAATTATGACATAAGTATGCCATATGTACATCGGTGCACCTGGCTGAGCATCCCCAGCTTCGAAAGTAAAACTAAGCGAAAGAAAGTAAACAATCTCTATTTTCCACACGTCTGTGAATGCGTGTTTGGTGTTGCTTTTGAATTAGGGATGTTGGAGTAACAATAATAACAACATAGTACCTTATAAGAAAATACCTTATAAGAAAATATACCGATAGTCTTCACTTAATATTACACGTTTTTAGATATTTATTAATATTTTTTTAAGACATTTTAGTCTCTAGATTAAATATTTCCATTACAAATAAAATGTATATATTAATAACACACGATTATTTCAGTATTGTACCGTGTCTAACACTGATGTATTTTATTACTTGCTAAATATACTGTATTGGTGCCTTTTGTAGAGAACTCAAATCTTTTTTATTGAATGTTATCACACCGCATTATTTACCACATATGTCTACCATTTTCCAGTATGTAATTATTTGCCAGAATAAATATTTCGATGTTTTATATGTTTTAATTGATTATTACAATCGCTGTTTTGGCATATCATATATTTTATCACGTAATAAAATTTTTATAGTTTAATAGATTGCATTTAGTTAATACAAGATGTTTTTACATTGTATGTAATATATATCTTTTGATTAAAGTATGAAAAGTATTTCTTGAAACTATTCAGTTTTGTATGTTCAAAGTGCAAAATAATATTGAAAATTTATTTTTACAAATCTTTTAATTGTGCATTCATTAAATTTTACTTCCGCAATTGTCATTATTTCATAAAAAAACAATTTGTTGCAAAGTTTCAAAATAAAGTTCATAATAAATATTTTAATAATTTAAAGCAATTACAAGGCACGCGAAAGGCATACAAAAGTCATTACTTTATAAAAAGATTCTTTATCCTTAATCCTATTTTAGCCATGCATATTTTATAAGTGACAAGGTCTACGAAAACGCGATACCAAGTACGATAAACTTATAATGCAAACTTATAATGCTTGAATAGATTAAGTATTTTAAAAGATTTATTTGAAACTAAGACTAGTTACTTCTTTTAAGTATATAAAGCTATAAATATATTATAAAGATTAAAAAAATCTTCCTCAAAGAATTTTTGAATTTCGTAGCTTTACAAAGCTTATATAATTTTTATATACAAATAAAAAACATTAACAAAAAAAAAATAGAAAATGTACAAAGATTTTAACATTTTACACAAAACATTATATAACAGTGCATTTCTTTTTATGTTTAAAATTGATATCGCACGTTGACAAAGTCATCGTTTGTCACAAATGTTTTTTGTCTTGTTTCAAATTATCAGGGCAAGAGGCAGATTTTTTTAACACTTTTAAGATCTATTATCGTTTCATCTAAATATGTTTCTTGTTTCTGTGACTCTATCTGTTTCTTTTTTAATAATGATCCTCCTGTAAAACCTAAGAACGAATATTGCTCACTCATTATCATTATTATTCCATCATTTCTTACGCAATTATCCATATAATTATGTCTATATCAAATTTTAATTTTATATAAATTCATATAACTTACCTAAAATACCACAACCTACAGCAGCAAGGCTACCAATTTTCAGTCCAGCTAATAAACCTATTGGTCCACCAATACATGTACCTAACATAGCGCCTGCTATGGGATATGCAGCAACTTTATATGCAGAAGCTTTTTGCAGGAACCTCGTACCTTCATTTACATTTATTTGAGTCTCTTCAATATTGTCTTCCATATTGTCCACCATTTCTTTCTGATCCTAATTAGAATAAGATAATTATAATAAGATAAAATATGCATTTAATTATAACAAAAAATTAATAAATTTTTGTTTTCCCTCCCTCATGTTAATGAAAAATTTAAGAACGAAAGATATTTTTTAAATCTTTCTCAAGTATATCACAAGTAAAGTTATTATATACTTACATGTACTATTTTATTAAATTCAATAAAGAGTTCATGTAAATGTTGTATTTCTCCATGCAGACGATTCCAGACATGCAGACATATTTGCTGACGTTGCAGATCTTCCTGTTCTGCTTGCAACTGAATATTGCTATTATCGAGTGGATGTTGTATCTCTTCTGATTCACTTTTAGGTGACTCAGGTGGTAATGTTGAAAAATTCATTTCCATCTCTATAAATAATAGATTTATATGTTAATTACTTAAAATTTCGTATACTCTAAGATTAAAAAATGATTTATTATATACTTTTATATTTCTTACCTAAATACTCCTCGATGGCGCTCATGATACTTGATCGTGCATTTGTTGTCAGTTTATCAAATTTATCAATGTCAACATCAAGAACCTGTGCTCGTAGAGTATCCATCTGATACAACAATTCTTTTAGTTGCTTGATAATCCTAGAGACATTTACATGTTCCTTCCGTATTTGTTCCCAATTATGTTGATTTTGATACTGCAAATATTTGAATATTCATATCAAAGACTTTACAAATGTAAAATATATAAGACATACATTATGCAAGAGATATATATATACTTACTTTTTTGATATTGTTCCTATGTCGCTTCAACAAATTCACGTGATGTGGTATAGCAACGTTGAAATTATTAATCTGAATTTCCAGACGCCTAATTGGTTGCTTAATCGTAAGATTCTCTGATAATGTTGACATGTCTGTGGTTACGTTCGTCTCGATTGTTCAACTTTGATTATTGCACAACTTGTATATTTGTAAAGATATATTGTAGAGATATATTCAATTTATATTTCTTCGCGAGCTAAATTCAAAGTCCACTCTTTAGTTTCACATATTTTCTGGACAACGAAGATTTTTCACAACAAGAAATATTACTGACAACGCTGAGATACGATAACTTGGTAATTGCGTTTTATTCCGTTGAAACCATGCATATTCTGTCTCCATCCAAAATAAACGATCAGCTGTTGAATTGCTCGATATAACACATCATCACACATTACACGCATCCACAAAGCTGTCAAAGAAAAAAGATCGAGCTCTCCATCTATGGTCGTGAATTTGTACTAAGATGGTTACAAGTTTTAATATCTTCCTGTAAGATGGAACTTGATGTACCTTTCATAATTTATTGAATATTAATTTAGTTCTGTCTAGACGAAAATGCATTTCTGTCAAAGTTTTGTCCAAAATACCAAATATGTAATTTTTTCCCTAGGGTGGAAAATAAAAAATAAAACTCTTTCTATTCTCAATGGTAAAAGTTTTCACTTTTCTTCCACCCTAGAAAGAAATTATATGATAGGTCCTCAGCAGTCTCTTCAAAGAATCATAATAATATCTTACCTTCTTCTTATTTTTATTAACAAAAAATTATTTGAGTTTACAAATTTCTTAATTAATTTAATATTTTTATCGATTTTTTATTTAATATTTTATCTTATAAATTTAATATCGTTTATTCTTAAATATAATTTTGTATTAACATCTTGAAGCTTACTTCAGATGATCTTTAATTATAATCTTCAAATTCCATGCTATTTATAATTTTGTGAATCTGTCAAGGTCTAGTCTTGATAAAAAATTTTCCATATATAATTATGTAGAATATGTCCACATATAAAAATATCTAATTATATATAATTACGTGTATATATAAAAATTTTTTTATGGTTGTGTATTTTAATATACAGAGTATTTGATTCTAATAGTACCATTTGTAGGCGGATAAAGCGATTCAGCAGATATATACGTGCTCATTCGACGATTTTTAATTAATAATTTGTTATTAATCGTAAAAATCATAAAATGAATAGAGAACTTCTCTGCTGTGACCCTGCACAGAGGTGTACTATTAAGAATCAGATAGTCTGTATATATGTTTCAAATTTCTTAATGTTTTTCATGTATTACATAGGTCATTAAATTGTAAATGGAATTTTATTCTATTCTTCTAGATTCTGACAGGAATTAAATAGATTTTGTTCACAAAATATAAAGAACATGCCTATTTCACGTTTATCATCCGTAACAATATCGATTATCGCTCGTGCTTTATGCAAATGATTGTGAAATGGAACGTCGTGCGACATAACATTTCGTTCTAAGCGGTGCTCTAGTAACGAGCATATGATATAATAAAAGAATAAAAAAAAAAAAAGAATCGCTAGTTGCGATCGACGAGCGAAGCACTATGCTTGCGCGGTCGCGAAAGTTTCGCCGCCATTTTTCACACGCGTTGCGACTCCACGGCGCGCGAGCTTCGCGATTTTCACGATTGAAAAACGACTTTGCGTGCAAATAAACGTCGGAAGTGCCGAGTGAAGTGTCGAATGAAGTGCTGAACAACGCGTGATTGTTCTAAAAGGGGTTAATCGACGGCGCGCACGATAACGGTTACCGCGAGTAAACCGCTGTTTGCACCGAACGTTACCGTGCCGGTGTTCGTTCATTCGAAATGGTGCGTTTGACACGTTCCGTCAATAACATAATCGGTTAATCGTCGCGTGCACGCCTTTACACCGTTTTCTCGCTACACCGCGCACTGCACAATCGGGTATTAAAAGTGTCGGCTGGACGGATCGTGCGATGGACGAATTAATTTAAATATATACGCGAGAATTGTAATTAGGATTTTCGAACATGGCGGAAACGCGTCTGCGCTAACAAATGGCGAGCTGTGAATTTTTAATCTTCCAGAGCAAGATTTTTGTCTTAAACCGCGAACGGTGGTTTCTCAAGCGGAGAAAACTTGGTTTTTAATATACGTTAATATACGTTTGTATTTAATCCTTCAATTTTTAATAACGTTCTTTTGTTAAGGTTGCAAGAAGAGAAGAATATATAAGAATTTTCTTTTGTTAAACTTTAATTGAATATAATTTTATATATATATATATATATATATATATATATGTGTATTAATACATGTATTAATAAGAATATAATATAGTGTATTAATTTTTTATAGTAAAATTTAATAAGAAAGAAAGTTTGCCATAAAAATAATAATAGTAATAATGAAATAGTAATAAAATATAATCTTCTTGTAAAAAGTCGAAGAAAAATAATTTTTTTATGATATCTCGCATTTTATATATAATCCAAAACATATCTGTTGTAACAGATATATTTTTTGTGAAAGTTAATATAACTTAATTTTACAGATGTATATTTTGGATTATATATAAAAATGCGAGATATCTTGCAAATGTAGCTATACTAATGATTTTAAAATCAAGATTTTTTTATAATGCAAATATATCTGACTTGTAATTATTCGGGGAATTTGGAGAACACTTATAACGTTAAATACGCGATGACATGATTTTCATCTTTCATCACGTTCTGATGTTTGCATCGACATGAAACAACCTTCAGACGTTTTCGCGCATCATTTTAAATTTTAATAAACGGCACGCGAGAGATGCATAGTCCATCGCCGGAAACTCGCGATAAAGAATCAGGAGAGAAGCCGCGAGAGGGATGTATGAATTTCACGAGAGTCAGATTTACCGCGCATTAACTCTGACACACAATCCATTTCCGCGAATTGAAGATCCGACGTGAACGGCACCCGAGGTCCGCATACTTTTATATTCTGCGTCCGCCGGAAATTATGGGCAGCACGCGCGCGCGCGCGAGATGTACGTACGAGTGTGATCAATTATGCCTTACCCCGCGATCCCGCGCGCGAGTCCGTGGCGATCCCGATGAGTTTTACAAGGGTCGCCGAATGTACAATTTGGTATAAAGCTCGGCGAGGCTTTTGGTAATGAAAAACCGATTGCGACCAAATAGGCTTCGGGCTGCTGGTGACGTGTAATCGAGTCTTCTCTTCTGTCGCTTCGTCGTATCCACCCCCGGCCCCTTTTTGTCCTCCACCGTCGTTCCCTCGTCCTTCGCCTCCCCCTCACCACCGTCCTCTCGTCCTCCCTCTGTCCCTTGATTCTCCCCCATCCCTCACGTGCTTCTTCCTCCATCCGTGATTCCTCCTCCGGCTTCCATTAGCCGCCATACGTCGTCTGTACACAGAAATCCGTTTTGTCCTGTTTTCGCGTGACCTTTTATTTCAAACTACCGCATTCAAATTACCGCGGGCTATCTGGATATTCGATCCTTTGACCTTTTGTCGCCGGACGTTTAGAAGCGCTTTTAAACATCGGCCAGGATTCCCTCCGTCGTTCACTGCTATCTAGGCTGCATTAAGTATGGAATATATGTTTGTGTGTGTGTGAAACATAATCCATTTTTTTTAAGTTAATTTTGATTGAGTTTAATTTATATGTGAATATATGTTTTTTACACTTTTACAATATATGTCTTTTAGTTTTATTTTGTGTACAAAATATTATCTACTTTCTTAAGATAGTTCTTAAAACTTTCTTACAAACTTAAGACAGTTTGATTTTAATAATTTTTCTTAAGACAGTCTGATTTCAATAATTTTTTTAATTTTAATACTTCTTGGAAAATATTTTTTAAATATAAAATCTCGAATTATTTAGTTCGTATAAATGATTATAAATGATTTCACGTGGATTCGAGAGATATTATAAAAATCCTCATGTTCTCCATCCATTATAGAAAGCGTAAACATTTATTTCTACGGAAATAAATTTTTTTTTAATTTATTCTAAAATTACTTTTCATAACAATTTTATGTAGTAGAAAATTTGCATTGTTAACTCTTCTATTATTTTCACTTGTAGAAATAAAATTTGTTATTTCACTTCATCAACTATATTAAATATAAGAGATTTAAATAAAGGTATTAAGAGTTAATTAGATTATAATTTTGAAGAAGAAATTTTAAGATTGTGCGCGAAAAGTTAAGTTTGCGGGTATATTTGTTTTCAAACTGACTTGGTTCGCGTATTTTGGATATGTGAAATTAATAATTTGGCATTCACGGGCTAGAGAGAGCGCGACAATCGCGCTTTGTCTTCTCTCGTTCGTTAATTAGGGAATCCAAATCCGGAGTCTCTAAGGCGGAGGTTATGTATAAATTCGGAAGTAGCATTATCTCGTAACAAAGTCACGTGCTTGGCATTCGAATGCAGTCGTGTTGCTAGCAATGGTTAGGAACTATTTCCGTTTATTTGCCGTGTTCTGTTTTTCTAAGTATATACGCAAAATTGTCATTCTTTATTATTAAGAGCGTAGCAAAATGTAGCAATACATGTATGTAATAATAGAAGAGCGACGATTCGTAATTTTATGCAATCAAAACTTATTTCAATAAAATAATACAAATTTTAACATAATGACAATCTATATTTTTATGCGTACATTTCTAGAAATATGATGTAGATTTGATTATTTTAAGAAGTTTATTGTTATATGAATATCGAAAATTCACAAATTGCACTAGTTTAACGCAAGCTTATATCCTTTACTACTTTTGGACCTTAGTTAGGAACATTACCGATCTGATTGCAGACCAACACGCTGCATTCTAATCGCAACTTCTTTTCTTATGCAGAAAAGCGTTGTGACATGCCATGCCTTTATTCTTTTTATACATTTATTCTTCTTTAATAATTATCTTATTAATTTATCTTATTTATTTCAAGATGGCATTGATTCCAAAGAAAAACCATAGTGTGAAATTATACTATAATTTCATTCAATTGTGACAAATTGTCAATACGTATCAGAAGTATTGAATAAGAAAACGAATAGATAAATATAGCTAATCAAAACTCATAATTGCACATTATATAAAATATATATAATCTATCCTAATATAAATTATATAAAACAAATCTATGATGCAATAATAATAAAATATATAACAATAATAAAATTAATATTAATATTAATATTATTAACGACAAAATAGAGATAGATATTGAAGCATACGCCTCGTAACTATTTCATACTGCCGGCGACAGCTTCACGAATAATTTAGTACACAGCGCAGCTACATGGTGAGGCGTTAATGACGCGACATCCGGCTGGAGAGTAATAGCGCGCCCGAATTAATTCTCTCGGCTGTGCTTTTAGTAAAGTGGATTTTATTGCCGTCTTGCATTCGCGGACGAAGTCGCCAAATTATAGTTGC